TATTACTAAAAATAGCATTCCTTTCATTCCATAATTATGTATCATTTGCTTTTTGCACGAATTTTTAAAATATTAGTATTACATTGAAATGTAGTAGGAATAAATAAGAAATGACTAAAATAACTTTATTAGTATCGTGTGATATAAAAGTATGACATCTGTGTAATATATTGTAAGTTGTAAGAGTATTTGTAATGTTAGGTACCATTATTAAAAAAAAAAAATTGATACTTTGTTATGGTACGAACTAAAATAGAAAAATAAATACTTTATTATGGGAGTAATATTAATTAAAAATTCTTTTCAGTTTTTTTTTTTTTTTTTTAAATTATGCTTGTTGTTCAACACATTACATAAAATTTAGTGATATTATTAGTTATGCCGCTTTATGATTTGGATTCAATTTTGAGTTGGTGTGTATGTATGTGTGGGTAAAAAAAATAAAAAATCAGTGAGATTATTATTATATCTATATAATAATTTATAATTAATAACTAAATTTATATGAAATAATATTGTATTTTTTTCAATAAAATTATACATATATTTTAATTTACAGATATATTGATGTTTGTGGTTACTTAAAACTGTGAGATATTACGAGCATGTTTAAAGGAAACTTAAAAAATCAATCTCTCAATTCTTGTATTATTATTATTTTTTTTAATTGGAAAAATAGCCAAAATAAAATCTCTATGTTGTTTGTGAAAATTGCTGAAAATATCTAGTGTTATAAAATTTTATAAAAAAATATTGCAAAAAATACTATTTCCATTAGTAATTAACGAAGATTACGAGGCACGTGCTTAAATTGCAATTGATATTACAAAATCATATATAATATGGTACGAAGCTACAAAAATATCTTCTTATAAATTGCAATTAAGTTATATATGATTTTGTAATACCAATTGCAATTTTAAGCGCGTGCCTCGTAATCTTAGTTACTAACGTTGTGGATATTTTTTGCAATAATTTTCAAACAACATGTAGGTAAAATAGAATTTTAGGATCGATGGTCCTCTCAGCATTTGTTGCGAACCACATGGAATTTTTTGCTATTTTTCCTTTTAAATTTATATTTAATATTATTTAAAATTTTAAATAGTGTAATAATTTAAATAATTATGCAATTAAATGAAAAAAAAAATTGAATCTCAAATATCCGGGTCAATATTTATTTCAATAATTTAACATACCAAATATAAATATAAGCATGAAATTTATTTTTTGATATTTAGTAAGAAACTTTATAATATTACAAACGCGACTCTCCAACAATATCACCGCACTTGTCATGCTTCCATATGCGACGATCCCTTTCCCTATTCTAGTTCTAGTATAAAAGCAAAAGGTATAATCAAAATTCTATACACAAGGTGGAATCGACACAAATCTAATATTTGCATACCTTCACCGTACAAGCACTACAAGAAAAAATTATTTTTGTAACAAAACTTTTTTGTCTCTAAATCTACTTTTTCCGTTACTAATGACATTAGAGACGGAATTAAAGTACTAAATTATTAATGGTAAGTGTAATAATATATATATTGCTATAATTTTTCATTCATATTTGTTTATATTTGTTTCATTCAGGTGTGTACACATCTCAATTATTAATGGTAAGTGTAATAATATATTACTTGTTTATGGCAAGTATAATAATATATACTTTCTTTGTTCCAGCTACAGTGCTCTTTTTACGGTGGACATAAGAATTTAGAAATGATATAATTAATAAATAATTAAAAATACATTTGTGAAAATAATTATTATATAATAAAAATAATTTTGGGTTGAGATTAAGATACTTAATTAATTTAATTAAAATTAAAAAATTTAAAATAAAATTAAAGTTTATAATTTTTTTCCAAAAATAAAAATGACAGAATAAATGAGACAAACGAAAATGAAGATATGAATATGATAAGTGAGACGGAGAAAGTATTAAATTTTAATGGTAACTACAATAATATTTAAATCATTTATGGTAAGTATATTAATGTAATACCTTTTTTTTATAGTAATTGTTTATGGTAAGTATAATAATATATGCTAAATCTAATGGTAATAATAACATATTAATTGATTATGGTAAGTATTTTAATATATTAATTTAATATGGTAATTGTTTATAGTAAGTATAATAATATATACTAATTTTTTATGGTAAGTAGAATGCTATATAATGTAGGGAAATAGTTGATACTTGAATCATTATAAGAAGGCTTGTTATTAAAATTATATATTCTATTATCGACACCCCCGATGGGAATTTCACCCAACACATGCACACACGCACCCACCCCCAACCCTCAAGCGAGGGATGTCTCACCGCTTGATCTATAAGGGCTTGACTAATAAATGTGTTTGGTTGTGATTTCAAATCGAATTTTTGTTTTCCGATACGATTTTCAATATATATATTTTATCATCTCACAAAAATCAACATTCAGCATAAAATATTATTTTTTATATTAACAACACAATTTTCTATATATCACATAACAAAAAAAATTCAAATAAAAACATTAAACAAACAAACCCTTGATGTCCTCAGTAAAAGAAGTCCGAGAAACCAAAGAAGTCCGATAAACCAAAGAAGCCGAAAGGTATCATAGTAAATGTTTTTATAGCTTCATGAGTTTGTAGCTGCAATTGTAGATTATTCATATAAATGCTGACATTTTTCTTTCTATTTGATTTAGGTTGATTTGCATTTGTTTTGTTCAAATGCAATCCTCCATTAATAGGTTTTTTGCATCGTTGTCGACAATATATATATATGCACATAGTTTGAGGGACCAATATTGTCTAACCATTTGAGGGAGACGTTTGTATTGGAGCCATTCGCATATAGTTGGATCGACGAATTTGCAGGTTTGTACTTGTTAATATAGTAACAATATATATATTGATGATTATGAATTTGTCATTTTGTCAAAGTGTGTTTGGTATATAAAAATAAAGATTTAGAAATGGAAATTTCTTAAAAACTTCTTTCTCTACACATGTAGAGAGATAAACGAGAATTAAGAACATGAATGCATATTTATTTATTTTTTTAATTATTTAATTTTTACATTTTTATAAAAATGTATTATTTAAATTTAATAAAAATCGTATCTACATAGTGGAACTTTGCAGACCGGTTGATTGTAGAGAACTTCTCCATGAAGTCCGCCAATGAGCAAATTTATCCAATCTGCACCATCATATTTATGACAATTATTTTCCCCACAAACATACCATAAAAAAGTTGGTGAAGGAAAATTACTACTTTTGATCACTGCAGTTTGATACTAGAAGAAAGTCTAATGATTGATGTAAAAATGCAACCACGTGAGAATATAATTTAATCCAAGATTCTGATGGGCAGACCTGATACTTTGAAGCTTTGAGCCATGAAAATTCACTTCTTTCTGCCATGATAGCATGTCATGTAGCAAGTTTGCTCTTCTTTGATTTCAAAGCAGTCAAATTTTGATTAGCAAAATCTGTGGGGATTGGCAAGTTCTTATTCACCATCAAGGCAGCAGACGAAGATGGCAACGAACCACTTCCTTGATTAGCTTTAGCTGAGTTTAGTTGCATAGGGAGACTATGGTCCAGCTACATTTCCAATACTCAACCCAGAATATGATTTTGGGTTATATGGTGGTAATCCATTCAAGGTTCCGTAATGCTTAAACCAAGATGGCCATCTTCATTGTTGCAAATGGAATGAGTTTCGGGGCCACTGTGGCTCGATTTTTCCATCTGTAGATAGTCCTGAGGGAAATCTGATACAGATCATGGCCTAGGATGCAGAAATGACTAAGCTCCTCGTACTCAAATTATGTTGGCTGAAAAAGGCGTTATGATGCACACAACAAGCAAAGAATATTACGACCATCATCGATCAATCTGAGATGTAACGTACAAGGATAAGAATCACTGCCTGGAACAGTGATCTACGAGCCCGGGCTGGATGATGTAGTTAATGGTCTCCCAGAAGTCGCGGAATACTGGAAGCAAGTCATCAAGATCAACGACTATCAGAGTCTCATCCGTGTTCAACACCGTTGCCGACAAGAAAATCCTTCAAGAAAGACACCGGAGACACAAGAGAGACTCCTGCCATTGACGTCTGCTCGTGTCTTCTCCACGACAAGGCCCAGCTGAGCATCTACGATCCTCAGGTGACAGACGAGATCTCTTGATGAAAATGTTCGACTGGAACCATCCCCTCCATCTCCAGCCGATGAGCCCCTCCACGGGTAAGAAAGTCCAACGCGTCTGGGACGCCTACGCCATCTGCATCCTCACCGAGTGGGACGAATTCAAGAAGCTCGATTCCAGAAGATATACGACAATATGCAGAAACCAGCCTTTGTTTTCACTTCCCACACAAGTGGAAGGCATTTTCAGGATGTGGCAGCATTTTCAATTCAGACTTATATTACTTAAAATATAGTATAAATAAATTAAAAGAAATAATAAAAAAAATATTATTGACACTTTTAATAATCTTTACACTATTTGTTAACCGTACCTGCAAAACTTCTTATATAAATTGAGTAATTTGTGGAATCAAAGAATATGGACCTATATACTCCTAAAAATATTGTGAATTTGTTAAATTCAAGCTAAGTGTGTATATTTTCACCAACTTTCAAATTTTATTATTTAAATATTAAAAAAAATATATAATTTTATTTTACAAAATATTATCAATTATTATTTTAATATCAAATTCAAATTAAATTAAAAAAACAAATTAATTGAGAAAATCTACATAAAGAGTGACTTTTGTACTCACGTGCCACACGCGCACACGTGTGTATACACGCAAGTCTTCACTGGTATTGTAGCTACTTTGAGATCCCCGCCTATGTCAGCACCTTCCGCAATGAATATTTGGAACCCTATATTTTCATATAATTACAACTAATCCACAAATAAATATGTAGGTTTGGACCCTCGTGGCCCCCAATTTTTTTTGAACCAAACCAAACTTTGCTGCTACCACCCTTATTTTTTCTTGTCCTATTCTTTCCCTCCTCACTCTTTTCTTCCCTTTGTTTTCCCCCTTCCTCCCTCACTCTTTTCCTTCTTCCTATTTCTTCGACACTCAGTCGTTTCTAGCCCAATCACCAAGGCCGCCATCGCTAACGCTGTTCAGGTTTGAGATTTTTTTCTTTTTGAAGTTAAAAACTGTCTGAAACTGGAACCGATTTCGGTTTCGGTGTGCCGGTTCGAAAACCGGCGGGTGAACAAATCTCTTTCTAAGAATCGTCCATGGCCTATTGCATTCGAATATTGTGTTTTGATGATTTAAAAAAGTTGTATTGTTTCATTCTGTTGAAGTGTATTTATTGAGAGAATTATATTGTGAATTGGAATCGAATGAATGCTTCCCCGATGATAGCTAGAAATCGCAAGTCATATTTAAGTGATTTTGTATTGTTTATTTTGTGAATGCAGAGGGCAAATATGCGTAATTGATAGAATAAGTAAAGAAAAGTTCAGATTTGCACGGTCATGGCCATGACTAACTACACCCTCACCGCAAAATTTAATTAAAGACCAAAAAAATCTAACTACAAAATAATTAAGGCAAAAATTAAATAAAATGGGAGGGGTCACACGTTTCATAAAAAAGAGAACGGCCAGACTGATAGACTCATAGATAGCGCATGAGCAAATCGACAGAGAAGATTTTTCCATTTCACTGTGACTTTATCTTTCTCTTTTTCTTTGTTATTTGATTATGGAGTAGATACTTTTCTGGTTGGAGGGGTGATAATGTTTTTTGTTTTGGATATTCTTAATTTTTTTTATAAAAGTTCTTTTTTATTATCAATATTTGTTTAATTATGAAAATAGTGTTTGTGGTTGTTAGATTGATTGAATATTTTGGTACCGATATTTGAATTAGTTTGATAATCTAAAGTCAATTCAGGTAGGATATCCGTAATTGTATTTGCACTTAAATAGGTGAACTGGGTTGAATAGTTCATTCCCGGGGTTAGACAATCAAATCTAATTGCTCCTCTTAGCTAGTAATTGTTTTGAATTGGATTTTTCTAGATTAGAATGCGATTATGCAATATTTCTTATGGGGGCACCTAGGTTTATTTGCTTAATTAGGGTGGTTAACGATCGTACCTTAATTACTTACACTGTAAGGAAAATTGGTTGTCAGAGCTTGTTGATAACTATAACAAATTTATTGATACTTTAATAAGAACTAACTTTATTGAATTAATGACAAAACACAAGTGTCATAACTGCATCATCCCTTGAGCCAGACATCCCCTTAATAGCTAGTTCTCCCTTAATTTAATTGCTTTGTTATTTTATTTTCATTAGATAATAAAAGAAAATTCCCTTTTTTTATTTACTGCATTAGAACACGAAAAGAGTGAATCACACAATCCCTGTGGAGACGATTCCTTCCCCTGTATTACATTAAATTGTGATAACGGAATATGTGAAATATTTGATTGATCGTGCGAAAGGTCAATTTTTGGCGCCGTTGCCGGGGATTGGCGCTTTGTTTTACTCTTTTGTGTTATTTTCATTTATCCTCCTGTTTATGTCCCGTTTTTCTCGTACAAGTGAATTGATATTTAATCTTGAGATCGAGAAGGTTAAGCGAAAGCTACGAAAGGAAGCCAAGCAACGAAAAGCTGCTCAGGTTGCGAAACTGGCAGAATTTTAAAACCACCTCAAAATCTCTAGCTCTAGCGACTTTGAAAGTGATCAAGAGACTGTTATGACTGAGGATACCCGCACTCTAAGGGAGTTGGCTGCTCCCGACTTGGTGCAGCAGCCCTTATGCATTAACTTTCCAATACTCAATAACACTGTTGCTTTTGAACTGAAATCTGGCTTAATTCATTTATTGCCTTCTTTTCATGGACTTGCAGGTGAAGAACCTCACAAACACTTGCAAGAGTTCGACGTGGTGTACTCCAGCATGAAACCACCAAGTGTTACTGACGAACAGATCAAACTCAGAGCTTTCCCATTCTCACTCAAAGATGCTGCAAAGGATTGACTCTACTATATCCCACCTGGAAGCATCGACACGTGGAACGACATGAAAATAAATTTTTGGAGAAGTACTTTTCAACTTCCAGAGCTGCGATCCTGAGGAAGGAGATATGTGGCATCAAGCAACAATCAGGTGAAACGCTCCATGAATATTGAGAGCGATTCAATAAGCATGTCCACAACATCAAATTCCCCCTAAACTATTGATTCAATACTTTTACGATGGTTTGTCATTGATGGAAAGGAACATGATCAATGTTGCAAGTGGTGGAGCTTTAGTAAATAAGACGCTAGCACAAGCTTGGGATCTTATTGCGAAGATGGCTGAAAACACGCAACAGTTTGGCTCGAGGGATGTTGGACGGTTGAGCGAAAACAGTAACGACCATTCTATCCAATCGATGCAGCAATAACTTCATGTGTTGACGAGCTTTGTTCGCAAGATGGTCGTGGAAAAATCTAACTCGAGTGTCCAAGCTACCCTACAAGTGCAAGCCACCCTACAGATTCATGTCTGACCTCTAAGAAGGCTATGCAGTGGATGTAAACGCTGCAAACTATGGTGTGAATGAACCTCCAGTGTACAACCCGTACTCTAACACCTACAATCCAGGCTGGAGAGATCATCCGAACCTGCGCTATAGAAACACATAGTAGAGTAATGCTCCTCACCCATTCGGAGCTACGCAACAGATACAACAACTTCGTTTCTAAGAGAAACAGCCGCCCCAAGCACCCACAAGCAACTTCAGTCCATCTTTGGAAGACTTGGTGAAGTCTATGGCTACCACTACCTTGCAGTTCCCAACAAGAGACGAAAAAGTTCCAACAAGAGATGAGATCGACCGTTGACAAATTACAAGGTCAGATCAATCAAGTGTCAGAGGAGGTGAGGCAGCTACGTGAAAGAGGAAAGTGGCCTGTGCAGCCTGAGCCAAATCCAGCAAATGTCAGCTCCATCACTATCTGCAGTGATACGATGATTGAATGTTCTTCCCGGCCTAACCCAAAGAATACGAGTGCTATAACCCTTTGTAGCGGAAATGAATTGGAATGTCCACCTCCTATCTCAAAGGAACAGAATGAGGATCATATTGAAATGGGGATTGAGATTGAAAAAGAAACTGAACTTCACGAAAAGGTACCTCCTAACTCTGTTCTTCCTACTGAAGCTAAATCAACTCATTTTCTTGACAGGTTGAAGAAACCACAAAAGGCAAAGAAACGAAAAAAGATGATGGAAATATTCAAGAAGGTGGAACTTAATATCCCGCTCCAGGAGGCTATCAACCAAATCCCCAAGTACACGGAGTTTTTGAAAGAACTGTGCACCAACAAAAGAAGATTGCGAGGGGATGAGTACATTGTAGTGGGTGAGAACGTTTCGGTTGTTTTCAAAAGAAAGATATCACCTAAAACAGGTGATCCAGGTATGTTTTCTATCCCTTGCAAGATTGAAAAAACTGAGATAACTAAGACTATGCTAGATTTAGGAGCTGCTGTTAATGTCATGCCTCGATCAATATACGACTCTTTAAATCTAAGGCCTCTAACATGAATTATTATTCAACTTGCTTATCGAACCAATGTTTATCCTAATAGTATGATAGAAGATGTACTAGTTCAAGTAAATGACTTAATTTTTCCTGTTAATTTTTATATTTTAGATATGCATGATGCACATTGCTTTAATCCATCGCCTTTTTTGTTAGGAAGACCTTTTATGTGCACTTCAGGAATGAAGATAGATGTTAAAAATGGCACACTCAGCTTGGAGTTTGATGGAGAATAATTTCGTTTCAATATTTTAATCCCATCAAATGTTTTGTTGAATTTGAATCGTTATATGTAATTAATTTTGTAGTGCAGGAAACTTATAAAGTTGGTAATGAGAATAAACGAAGAACTGTGTTGACAAAACAGTTAGAGAAAAAACCAACTGGAGAGAGTAAGATTAAAAAAAAGATTGTTAAAAAGTGGAAATGGATTCCCAAGGGATCACCATTACTGGCAGCGAAAAAGTGTCATAAGGAGAATCAAAATTTTAAGTCGAAGCAAAAGTGTGTGGCCAATAGACATCGCTTCAAATCATACCACGAGGGACCTTCACTTGATCCTATAAAGTCGGCACTCGTTGCCGATTTTGATGTTCATAATTGATGCGAGACGAAGTCTAGCTCAAAAATTATAAAGAAAAATGCTTTTTGGGAGAAAACCAAAATCATTTAATTGCTTTATTTAATTCTAATTTTTTTTATTTATTTAATTGCTAATAATACTTTTGATAATATTATTTAATTTTGTGCAGGTCTTTTGAAAAATAATTACTAACTCTTGGCAAAGACGTGTCAATTTTCTTAAATCCAAAAAAGAAAATATAAAAATCAAATCATAATGTTCCATTTAGTCATAATCATATAACACTGCTTAATTCCCTTTACTCCATCCAGTTTTCAGCATGCAAGGTAGGCTTTAGGTCATCCGCATCGAGCGCTCTCCTAGTCCAATTGGGACACATGACATTATATATATATATTATATGTTTTGTTTTTGTAATTTATATTGAATTTATTGTTATATTTAAATTTTATAATATTTTTTTATAATTCATAATATTTTGTATTATATAAAATGATACTAATATTGAATATATTTTATCAATTTAAATTTTAAAATATATAAATACAAATATTATATAATTTTATTTAATAAATCAAAATATTGACAAATAATAATATAATATAATATAATAATTAAATAAATAATTAATACTAAAAATTAAAACTATAATTAAAAAATAATATATACTTCCTCTGTCCTATTTTTTTTGGTACATTCCACAAAAGATGACCATTTTTTATTTTTAGCAAGTTTATCTTTAAAATTTCTAATTTTTTTTATAAAACTAATTAATGATAATGATAAATAAATAAATATTTTTTTTTATTCATTTGTATTATATAAAATTTTATTGTCTTCAAAGTGATATATCTATACATATATTATAATTCTAAAAATATTTAAAATACCAACAACGTTACATATATAAAAAATAATAAAATATTATCATAATTTATCATTAATAACTTAATAATCTACACAATTTGACAAAATGACTCATTTTTCGTGAAAAAGAAGGAAATATAAAATATAAAAATAAAAATTTATTAAAAAATTAGAATAAATATTATTGTTACGAATATAAAAAAATATATTTATTAAAAAAAATGTGTATAAATAATAAAAAATAATGAAGAACGAATATCTCTCCGTTGCGGATGATCTTAGTCATGATCATTCTTAGTCATGACCAATGATCATTACTAAAGACCTGTTGTCGTAGTTGTCACACTGCCCATTCATTGCTTGTACTCAATTTTAACCATAAAATCCCAAAATAAAATAATAAATAAAACGAAAAAAACAAAATCCCTAATCCTTAATCCCTTTCCCCCTCTCCCTCTCTCTCGCCCAGCAGCCGGTTCCTCCCTCCGCCAGAAGACGCCGCGCCGAAGCCCTCCGACCTCCGCTGTTCCTCCTCCTCTTCTTCTTCTTCCTCTTCTCCTTCTTCTTCTTCTTCTCCTCCACCAGTCGTCCTCCGCCAGGCGCCGTCGCCTTCCTCCGCCGATCCAGACGCCGGCGAGCGTCTTCTTCACCGCGACGCCATCGCTCCCCCAGTCCTCCATCAGAAGTCACGACTCCGCCTCCGACAATCTCCGCCGAGCCAGAACAACCTCCAGCACGAACCGCACTCCGCCAAGGCCGTCGCCGATCACCGCATCCACTCCTCTAATTGGGTAATATTTCTTCATCTCTCTGCCCTAATTCTTTCAAGTTTTGGAGATAAGTTATTGAGGCTATGCCATTGCTAGATTTGGAATCGAGATTGAAATTCAGTTCCTATGATAGGTGTTTTATAATCTTAAGGTGCGATGATCATGGATTATTTGTCTTGAGTTAATAAGGTTGATTGATTGCTTGCATAGACGTGCTACTCATTGATTATATTAGAGGTATTGACACTCTGGAATCGAAGAACGCTATTATCTTCTTAAGGATGCTGTAGAAATTGCTTGCCCTTATTTTTCCGCTTGCCCTTACTCTTAATAAATAACAAAAATTTACAATTCAGATCGGAATGAGTCGCCAATTAGCAAATCCCTCCGCTGGCAAGCGGAGGAGGCCTGAAAGTGAACCGCAAGGTCGGGTAGATGCCGAGCGTGTAATCCTGAATTTGATCAAAGATAAGAAGGATTTGGGCATTTGGTTAAGAGACATCAAGCAAGAGTCAAAACTGCCCGATCCTACTGTTAACAAATCGCTCAAGTCATTGATTTCGAAGAACTTGATTAAGGAGGTTGTCAACATTCAAAACAAAGGAAGGAAACACTATATGGCTTTCGAGTTCGAACCTTCTAAGGAAATAACCGGGGGCGACTGGTACGTCAATGGAGTCCTTGACCAAGAACTTATTACTGTGCTTAAAAGGGTGTGCTTACAGTATTTGGAGAGGAAGGTTGTTGCCGATCTGGAGGATGTTCACGATGTGCTGAAGAGGAAAGGCATAGTGAATTTTACGATTAGTAGCCAGCAAGTCGATGAGATACTGAATGCAATGGTTTTGGACAATGATATCGTAGAGGTCAAGAGCACAGGGGTGGGAGATTATCGTTCGATTCCCATTGGTAAAACATGTTACAGAACTGCAAGCGGTGCTGGGGTTGTGAAACCTCTGAAAACGGGTGCATTTGGTTCGATCCCCTGCGGAGCCTGTCCCCGAATTAGTGTGTGCACGCCTGATGGGGTTATCTCCCCAGCTACTTGTGTCTATTATACCAAATGGCTCAACGTTGATTTTTGAAGCTAGATAGATATCTTTTGTGCACTTGCTCTTTGCTATCTTGGATTTGGATTGGAAAGATTTGGTTTGAGGTTTTTAGTTAAATAATGTTTGATGCTATGTTTTTTAAGAGGAAAATATGCTTCTTTATTTTTTTTAGAAAAAAAAAATGCAGGGTTCACATAATAAAATTTTGAAAATTATCGAAGTCGAATATTTTTGTGCATTGTGTGCTAGTGAAACTTGTACAGGAAACACGGCCAAATCATTGAGCAGTCTGTTGTATAGTCGCTTCTCTGCACATTTGAAATGAATTCAAGCTACAACGTACGAATTACAAGGTATATTGCTTTTACTTGAATATATATATGTATGTATATATGTTCGATTTCAGTTGACATGAGAGTAGAATTCTTTGTAGATCGCAATTAATTTGCTGCAGCTATGAATACTCGACTTGGCTTGTATTGTCATTTCTGCTTCACCTTCACATGATGTGTGATTTAGAAAAATTGTTATGAAAAAATTTGTGCTGAATAAAGCGTTTTTCAAAAGCACAGGAAATGTTTGTTCATAAATTAGCTGCATGCGTATTTAGATATAATGAATTGATTGAATAAGATATCCTTGAAATGATATAAGTATACACATCTCACTCATCATTCGCATATATGAAAATCAATTCAAATGTGCCCTCTCCTACTCCCTCAAGTTTTCTTGAGTCTGCTCATTTCTGTAAAATCGATTTTACTGACTTTGTGATATCATCTTTCTTGAATAACAAAGTACTTTTCGGAATCAATCTGTTTTGATGATTAGTTTTGATTTCCCGTGCTAGAAAAGCACCACAGCAGAACTCTAGTGGCGAATGCATATTTTTCCCTATTTATTCTTGTTGGCAACATACATGGATATGCTACTTTATTTTATTTTATTTTTTTGTTTTTTATTGTTTTGATGACGACTTGGATATGCTACTTGATCCTATAGTAACTGGTTCGAGATTTTTCCCTTCGCACTCATTCAGGCCTGTTTAGTTATATGTGCTAATTTGAAGTTGGAATTCATTCTTCAGAATGTTTTACTATTCCAGGAAAGAAAAATAAAGTGTGTAGACTTGTAAAATCATTGTACGGACTTAAACAATTTCCAAATAAATAGCATGAGAAATTTAATCATACAGTGATGAATAATGATTAAGTGTATATATATGTAAAGACCACTGAGTCAGGTTATGTAATTATATGTCTTTACGTAGACAATATACTTATTGTGGGTAGCAATGATAAAATCATTAAATTTACCAAAGACATGTAAAATTCTAAATTTGACATGAAATATATGGGTCTCGTTGATGTGCTTTTAGAAATCTATATCAAAAGAACCACAGATGGCCTGATACTAAGTCAAACTCATTATGTAGACAAAATCTTTTCAAAATTTAACAAGGATGACATAGGAATAACGAGAACCCCGCTATACACAAGTATCAATTTATCCGAGAACCATGGAGAGAACATATCTTAAATTGAGTACATTTGAATAATTAGAAGCTTGATATACCTGATGAGTTAGTTTACATTTTCACATGTGAATTTATAAATTATTAAAATAATTAATAAATCCTGTAATAAAAAATAAAAATAATTTTACAGGTTCTCTGTGTGTTGTTACTTCATAATGCTGGGCTGAAATCAAAAGATAATAATGCTCGAACAATGGCCATTGAACTTCTTGGTACTATCGCTGCAAGGTTGAAACATGATTCTGTCATCTGCAGGGAGGAAACATTTTGGATTGTAAAGGAGTTGATGAATGATGACAGTGCTGATTCTAGTTCTCCAAGAGACACATGTTCTCTTTGTTCTGAGTCAGTTTCCGGAAGGTCTACTTTTGCTTGTCAAAGTTGTGATAGACAATTTCATGTTGATTGTATCGGGGGAAGAGAGCATGATACTACTCACAACTTTGATTGTCAACTTTGCTTATGTGAGAAACAGCTTCTTGTTTGGAAAACATATTCTGTATCCCAGAATCAGGATGACAAGAAATCTAATCACAATCGTTTGGGGAAGTCTTCTCGAACTAGAATCACAGTCTCAAAAGAAGAGATTATCCAACAAATGCTCCTAAATTATTTGCAGGATGCAGGGTCTGGAGATGAACTACACCTCTTTATACGATGGTTCATCCCTGCATTGGAATTGCATTTAGTATGGGTATATTTATTGGTCATTATGTTGAGATAATTATTAATTTGCAGTTTTATCTTTGCCTTTGGCATAAAGATGACCCTGCCGCCGAACAGAAGTTCCCTTATTTACTTGAGAGGTTGAAATCCAGAGCAACTGTTCCTGATTCTCATGTGGACTCATCTTTCATGTCAAGGGATTCCATGAAAAGAATTACTTTGGCATTGGCACAGAATAGTTCGTTTGCCAGAGGGTTTGACAAGATTCTTCAAGTTCTACTCGTAGGTGAATTGTTGATACCCATAATTTTGGAAGCATGGATACTTATCTAGAGTTTTCATTTTGGCATCACAGGCAAGTCTGCGGGAGAACTCGCCGGGGATCCGTGCTAAGGCTTTGCGAGCGGTATGTCATGACCATCATGTATCTGCAACTGTTGACCTTTCTTTTTTGTCACTTTTCTATTTTATTTTATTTGTTTTTCTGGATTTGGGAGACACTTTCTTTTTTTAATGCTGACTTAACTATGTTATGTATGTTACTACAAAATGATTATAGGTTAGCTTTATAGTAGAAGCAGATCCAGAGGTATTGGGTGACAAGCATGTCCAAGCAGCTGTTGAAGGGAGGTTTTGTGACTCTGCTATATCAGTTAGAGAAGCAGCGCTAGAGCTTGTTGGTCGTCATATTGCTTCTTATCCTGATGTTGGTCTAAAGGTACTGTTCATTTTTATGTTTTGCACTTATGGTGTCTGTTTTGACTTTCATTTCTCTTTTGGCCTTCCATAGTATTTTGAGAAGGTAGCAGAGAGAACAAAAGATACTGGAGTAAGTGTGCGGAAACGTGCCATTAAGATTATTAGAGATATGTGCACTTCTAGTGCCGACTTTTCACATTATACAACTGCTTGTGTTGAGATAATTTCTCGTATCAATGATGAAGAGTCAAGCCTACAGGTACTCCATTTGTTTAAATTTGACAGGGAAGTTTATTTTGCCTTTGAGCCTTACTTCTGAAGTTCTTTAATACCATCTTTGTTTTCTGGTTTAAACCTATTATTATGTATATTAATCAGATAATGGCACCAGAAGATTTGATCATGTAATATTTGGAAATCTATTTACATCCAATTAACTAGCCCCTGCTACCATGACTTACTCTGGAAAGCAATTTTCCTTTTTGTTTTTGAACAGTGGCATCTATAATCTAATTTAGATAGCACTGTGTATTCTTGGGTTCATATGTTTGATTATTTTTCCTGTTTGCTGAACCAAGGTAATGCCATTAAAGGGTTGTGTATCTCTGCACAAACTTTATTTTCGGTCTAGGAGTTTGATTTGGTTTGGTGATCAGAAAAGATAAAGTTACAGTTCATCGATGCATTACAATCCTTTGATAATTCCAAACTTCTTTTTACAATATTGTAAAATTGTATTAAGTCCCTTGTTCCTTATGTACTGTTACAGGATCTGGTTTGTAGGACATTTTATGAGTTCTGGTTTGAGGAGTCTGGCACACCGGGCCATCTCTTTAAAGATGGTAGTTGTGTTCCATTGGAAATTGCTAAGAAGACGGAACAGGTTGTTGAGGTTTTGAGTAGATTGCCAAATCACCAACCTCTTGCAGTTGTCATTAAACGAACCTTAGCCCTTGATTTTTTACCACAAGCAGCTAAAGCTGCAGGGATAAATCCTGTATTACTAGCTTCAGTTCGCAAGCGCTGTGAGCTTATGTGCCAGTGTCTGCTGGAGAACATATTGCAGGTATCTCTGGGAATCAGGCAGTAAGCTTTATCCTCTTGTTCATTGCACCTGCATTTCATATTGCTATTTGTGCATTAAGAAGTAGGTATCTAGTATCATGCACTCTAAAATAGTTTGATCTTTGTAACTATGCAAGCAAAGACTTAGGCTACTGCCTAGAACTTAAATTGGATTGCACCTCAGGAGTGATTCCTTATATCCTGGCACCGAGATTTCTAATATTTCATTCCCCAACCTATTTTATAGGCACCATAAAGTTCATTCTTACTATAGAACTAGTTATGGCCATGCATCTTGTTAGGTGTATGTGAAAATGTTAAATATTTTTAGGTGTATGGGATATGTGTAGAATATTTAAGAACGTGATAGTTCCTAGAAACACTGTAAATAGTAGGACATTACCTAGCATTTAAAGGGAGTTCTAGACTATTCCTTTGTGATGTATATATATGCGTAATGCAATATGCAGAAGTCTGTGGTCAAGAAATAAAGAAATATCAGTTTTGTTTTGTGTTTATTCACACATCTAGAAATATATGATTCACATTCCAACTAAAAATCATTTGATAGATTATACAATTGGCACATTTTCATGGATTTGCTATCAAGATAGATTGTTATAATTTTATCTACTTATTACTTTACCATACACACTAGAAACACTACACAGACATTGCTGTGTGAATAATGTTGCACAATTATTTTAGCATAACATGGTGGGAGGACCATGTTCAAATCCATTGTTACCCATTAGTAGAAAAATGTGTCATGTCCAAGGTTTTGTGGACGTAACTTGCTGAGTGAGGGGGTCTTGAAGGATTTAAAACTAAAATAATACCCCTCCCTAGCTTAAGCTGTTGTGTGTTGATTATTTAACAGTTATATTGTTGTGTTCTCCAGGTTACTGAAAGGAATGTCGATGATGGAAAGGGGCATATGCTCCCATACATTCTGTTGTTGCATGCCTTCTGTCTTGTGGATCCTACATTATGCATACCAGCTTCCGATCCTTCACGCTTTGTAATCACGCTGCAGCCGTATCTTAAGAGTCAGGTTAACATTTCAACTTTTATGTATCATAGCCACTACAGTCAAGTGAATCACCTATCCTCAGTAGTTTTCTATAAAGATTTGGATGCACCGTGTATGCATCAAGAAGTCTCTTATTCTGTTTGTTCTAATTACTTGCTTTTGTACAATCTGTTATGGTCGCGTCCGATGGTCATTGTGCATTCAGCATTTTATGTTTATATGTATGTAAAGAGGAATTGGCTTGTTTTGACATTGTAGATGCTTGTGTTGAGTCCAAACTTCCTGTTGTTTACTATATACTAATTTGCTTCCTAGGGGAATCCTTCTATATGCGATCCAGTGATGTTCTGAAGAGATGCTCTTTTAAACCACTATGAGAGTGCACGTCTTGTATATTATTTAATATAACCTCTGCAAAGTGTGGCAGGGATCTACTTTACTACTTCAGATTGTCTTAAAACTTTTTATTGTGCTCAGCATCTGGAATGAATGCTGTTTAGTAATACCGAAGGATTGTGAGTGGTTTCTAACTCAAGCAGGAATTCAGTACTCACAGTATCTACTGCCTAGATATGAATTATTTCCAATAAATATTCTTGACGGTGGACATTACAATAAAATTCTTTTATAGTTTGTCGTTCGACATTTCTTAGATGTTGGTGTATGTTTTCTTTCTTTTAATGTACTGGGTTTCAGTTTAAGCTTGAATGGTTAGTGAGTACTTTCCATTCAAACTTAAGGCAAGGTCTGAATAAGCACCACATTTGATGGTTAGTTTAACCTTTGTTTTTTTTTTTTTTTTGGTTACCAATGCAATGATGTATATATATGTATGTGTTTCCAGCAAGTAGGTACCTGCACTTTGCTGTACTCTGAGAATTTTAAAAGAAATGTTGATAAATATATACTTATAATAATAACTTAGTGTCATCTGGTACAAAGAATAAAATTGCAGTGGAGAATGGAATTGGAGAGAAAGGGAATTGAAGAGAGAATGATAATTAATTCTCTTGATTGGTAGAATAGAGAATTATATAAAAAAAATAAATGGATCGGACAAGAATAACAAAAGAGGCTTTTAGCTAGTGAGAATCATGAAAAAATATTTATGTTGAATTTTTTTAAATAAAAAAATTATAAATCATATACAAAGTTTTGTAAGATCATATTTTAGTATAAATTTTTGTTAAAAATTAAATACTTGAATGATAAATTAAAAATAATTTTGTAAAAATAAAATAATATAATATAAATAATTATAAAAGTTAAATAGTACAAAAGAATTTAAAAAATAAAAATATATATATTGGAACATAATTTCTTTGAATATGGGAGAGAAATTGAAATAATTTATTTCTCAACCTCTATTTCTCTTACTCAAACAAAACAAACAAGATAAATAGAAGTTTGATTAGAAAATAAAACTAAAAATATTATACTAGTATATTATTAATAATAATATATTAAATATTATTAGTTATTTATTTTTATATATATTTTAATCCAGTGAATCCTTCTCATTCTTAAGCTCAATTCTCTGCTTATCGTCGGTTAACAAGCAAGCAAATGATCTCCCCACCACTTTCCTTTTTCCAAATACACTTGTACGCTTATCAGCCCTGCTTTTGGTTGAAATAAATGCAAACTGACAGTATGAGGTACAAATGTTAACCGCCATTAGCAGATTGGGGGTGGAAACCCTAATTTTCGGAATTGGATTTTATCAAATTTATCCTATCCGCTATCGCATTGCTCGTCGATGCTTTGTTCTCCGCCATAGGTTTCTCTACTGTTACGAAATGACAATTTTGCCCAAATTGATTTTGCACGAATATAACTATCTTCTTCTTCAAATAATTAGGGCAGATAAGCAAAGAAACACTTACAGTGATCCGCCATGTCGAAGGTTGAGAGGCCGGCGTCGGCGTACCGAATCATGATGGCCTCTACGGCGTCGTTTCGGTCGATTCTGCCCCATCCGCCGCTGGTCTGCCACATTCCGTTGAGCACTCTGCATATCTCCAGCGAATCGCTCCCATTCCTCACCACTGCCTTCTTCTTCTCTGCCAACTCAACCGCCGTCTCACAGCACCGGACCACTCCGTGGGGAAGAATGGGAGAAATTGTGCAGGAAGTGGTTCACTGCTAAAGCAGTAGCTGCCATTCGTTGGTTGAAAATTGAAATTGGGAGCGGAAATGGATATGCTACGGGATTAATAGTACTAAACAAACAATTCTTAGAATTGTGATTTTTATTGAAAATTGAAATTGGGAGCGGAAATCGTTGGATTTGTGATTTTTTTTTAAATAATTTGAAATTTTGCAATATGCTATTAGAATATTTTTTTTATTGAATTTAATATTCTACCAATAAAACAAGTTAGACTATGCCAAATATATAATATTATTATAACATTTTGATATTTTTCTCGGATTCTGAAACTTGAACTATTGAAAGTTTTAAAATTGCGGGTATTGATTTATGGGCATCAATGTCATACTCTGTTGAAGATGCTCATTTCTTGTGGTATATTAATATGTTGGTCAATTTCTTTTTAGTAATTTCGTATGCAGTTCATATATTCGGTAAATCCCTTGTTGATTCCTTTTGACTTAGATTTCATATACTACGATTTCAACAAACTCATGTGGAATATGGTGTGGATTATTATTATGTACTATCAATTCATAACATATATTTATGTTGTGCTAATATACACTTTGAGCTAAAATTAGTAATATGACTAATATTATATGTTGTTAGTTCATACAATAGTGTTTATATTAATAAACATATGTGTATTTTTTGTAGTTTGGATTATGAATATTAAATTTAAATTTAAATAGTTGTTTGATACAGTAAAAATTGATATTGATGTAATATTTTAAATGTAAAATTAATTTTTCATATAATATAAAAATTAATTTTTCATTTAATATTTTAGTCAAAAAATTGGATGAACAGTAATAATTCTCCAAACAACACACTTTACCTTCTCAATAAATACCGTAAGTGAATTGATTTTTTTTTTTCCCTTACTACATTCAAACAAAGTATCCACATCCTCCCTGCACACATACATATATAGTAGAGGTAATTGTGTTGGGTTATTGGTTATGAGAAATCAATATAGTATTGATTTTTCGAGTCAAACACATCATAACAATGCAGACAATACATTGTTTCAATTAGAGGAATACATGATATATTAGTTGAAATTATGTGCTGATTGGTCTATATATATATATATATATGATGTATTGTACAATCATATTTTATGTTGAAATCAACTATGTATTGTATTATTAATTATCATATGTTATGTTGCATTTATATTATAATTGATATAAATAATGTAAAACTTTTTCTTATTAAATCAGAGTGGTAACGAGAACATATCTTCTATATGTACTATATAATAGTATTCCTTGCATTTACTTTTCTTATTATGTTTTTTATTATATTTTTTTCAATTTCTTTTATAATTGGACTTATTATCTATATTCAAAATATATAGGTTCTACATAAAAGACATGCAATAAGTTATGATTATTCTTTTTGTAATATTGATGTTAAAATAACACATTAAACATATGAAAGATAGATGATATCCTTTTTCAACGAATCATTCTCGATTATATTTCTCTTAAGGTGAGAAAATATTTTGTACAAGTTATTTTTAATTATATTTTATTCAAAGTATTCCATTTGAAATGCTATATAGTGTATAGTGAAAATATACTCAATAATAATTTTAAAATATTAAAAAACATATTAAAAAAATTGGGTTATATATTTAAGAATGTAGAATATTTTAGATTTCTCTTAACGTAAGAAAATATTTTGTAACAAGTTATTTTTAATTATATTTTATTCAAAGTATTCCATTTGAAATGCTATATAGTATATATAGTGAAAATAAACTCAATAATAATTTTAAAATATTAAAAAACATATTAAAACAATTCGGTAATATATTTAAGAAAGGAAAATATTTTAGATGCTCACATGACCTCTCTTTAATTTGTACCACAATTCAAATTAACTTTTCAAACACCAAATATTCAGAATATGAGATAATATCTAAAGAATAATTGATGAAATTTATAACTCTTATTGAATCTTGATTCTTATCACTAATAGCAATAGAACATAATTTATAAATCAAATACATTTATACCTTTAGAAAGAATATTAAATAATTATGTCCAATGATTTTAAAATTCTAAAACGTTATTTTGGTATTTTTTTTTATAAATATAGAAAATAGAAAAACTACAAAAAAAATATCTTATAGGACAATATCTCTAGTGATTTACATTAATGCGATATAGGTAACAATTGTTGGAATTTATCATGACTTAAAACCCTTAGTCAAAATCTATCATTTTGAAATAGTTGAGATGATGAAGCAAATAAAGCAAACCAAATTTCATAATCGTAATAAAATTTGGATCTACGAAATAATTGAGGGTATTGTATTCTTCAAACCTATAATGCAACACCCCCTGAAAAAACCTAATAAATTATGTCATTATTTCAACGATGAGATATAAAAAATAATGGTATTACGTCTAGACTTGAGATCACAATCATAATATATTATACTTTATTATTTATTCAAATATTTTAGTTATTCAGTTTTAGATTAGGTTTAGTTGTTTTAGATTTGATTTTATCCATTAGCTTATATTGTTATGATTTGAGTTTATCGAGTTTGTATGTCATGCCTATTTATAGATTTCCATTTTTATTGTGAATAATAATGTTACTTTTGACGACTATACAAAATTTCTTCCAATATGGTATATGAGCCTATTTTTCTTCGAGAATAAACACAACTTAAAAATTTAAGTTTCTCCGGTACATTCAATTTGGAAGATACCTAGATGTTTCCCAAATTTTGAAACTATACCTATAATTGTTAGTCTTTCTATTTATGGTTTTGATTCTATGTTGAGTTTTGATTTTGTCTACTTTTGAACTATGTATGCGTATCTGTTTGCGATTTGTCTGCCACGTTTCTCTAGAGCCATATTTTTTTACTGTGTTGAGAGTTTCGTTATTTCCGACTATAGTGAGAATCTCGATATTTCCAACACCAGTGAGAATCACATTGTTTCCAACTCTATTGAGAGTCCCATTGTTTCTAACCCCAGTGAGAGTTCTATTGTTTACGACTCCACTGAGAGTCTCGTTATTTTCGACTCTAATTCAGTCGAGAGCATTGCTTTTGATTATGACACCGTAGACGATTGTGGCTGCATCATCTTCGATGTCTCTTTGATTCTCGGAGAAGTGGTCCTCCAGAAGGTCATTGATTCTGTATCTACT